TGCTCTAGCATGGGCACGGTGAGAATGACGGGACTGGCCCTGATGCTGGTTCACCGTGACATCGACATTGACGTCGAGGAGGTCATCAACATGTTCGCAAGGCGCCACCCAAGACGCATGCGGATGGTCAATGTGTTGGATGACTAGACAGTATTCACGACTCTATAAACATGATTCACGAATGTTCACATGACATTGTTTTCATTATTGGATTATTAAATAAACAATGTATGGCACCAGGCTCGGTTTTGAACTTTTACCCATTAAATTTGACTAGTTGATACCCACTTAGTATCACAATACATTTATTTGTATAGATCCCAATGTAACCGAGTAAGACCCGAGTAAACAACTGTAGGTCCAAACATGTTACTAGGTTTAAACTAGTACTTTTTTTGGTTGGTACTTAGCAACCAAGGGGGTTACATAAACCAAATAACCCGCCCTGAATACACGCACGTACACGTGGGTACACGGAGATACACGCACGTACACGCAGGTACACGCACGTACACGCGGGTACACGCACGTACACGCAGATACACGCAGATACACGCACGTACACGCGGGTACACGGAGATACACGCACGTACACGCAGGTACACGCACGTACACGCAGGTACACGCACGTACACGCAGGTACACGCACGTACACGCGGATACACGTACGTACACGCGGGTACACGCACGTACACGCGGGTACACTGCACGTACAACGCAGGGTACATCGCACGTACACGCAGATACACCGCAGTACACGCAGATACACGACGTACTACGTAACGGGGCTAGACACGTACACGCAGATAACGCACGTACCGTACGCCGCAGATACCCACGTACACTGCGGGTACCGCTACGTACCACGCAGGTAGCACGCACGTCACGCAGATACACGCACGGTAACGTAGCAAGCAGATACACGCACGTACCGCGGTACAGCGAGATACACGCACGTTCACAGGCGGGTACACGCACGTGCACGCGATTACACGCAGGTACACGCATCGTACACGCAGGGAACAACGCACGTGCACGCAGGTACAAACGACACGTACATCGCGGTCACGTCGCGTAAGCGAGATAGACCGCACGTATCACGTACACGGCAGATACACGAACGTACACGTACACGCAGATCACCACGCCCGTACGTACACGCGGTACACGGAGATACACCACGGTACACGCGGTACACGCACGGTACAAGGCAGGTACACGCACGTGACACGCGCGTACACCGCATGTAACGGCAGATACACGCACGTAACCACGCCAGATATCACCGGGTACCGGAGATACCGCACGTATCAGCGTGTACGCACGTACAGCAGTTACCGCCAGTACACGCACGTCACACGCAGGATACATGCACGTACAGCGCGGGTACACGCACGTACACGCAGATACACGCACTGTAACGCAATACAGGCAGCGTACGCGTACCGCAGATACACGCACGTACCAGCGGGTACACCGCACGTCCACGCGGTACACGCACGTGTAAGCGGGGCTACAGCATGTACACCACGTACACGGCGGGTACACGCACGTACTACGCAGATACCGCCGTACACGCGGGTACGCCGCGTGTACGTGCGTGTATCTCCGTGTAACGCGCGTGTATAGATCTGCTGTACGTGTACGTGCGTGCCATCTGCGTTGTACGTGCGTGTATCTGCGTGTAGTTGCGTGTACCCGCGTGTACGTGCGTGTACCTGCGTGTACGTGCGTGTATCTCCGTGTAGCCGCGTGCACGTGCGTGTATCTGCGTGTACGTGTACGTGCGTGTATGCTGCGTGTACGTGCGTGTACCTGCGTGTAACTGCGTGTACCCGCGTGTTACGTGCGTGTATCTCCGGTGTACCCGGTGTACGTGCGTGTAGCTGCGTGTACGTTGCGCGTACCGCGTGTACGTGCGTGTAGCCTGCGTCGTACGTGGCGTCTATCGCGCGTGTACGTGCGTGTATGCTCCGTGTACCCGCGTGTACGTGCGTGTTTCTGCATGTACGTGTACGTGCGTGTATTTGCGTGTACGTGCGTGATCTCCGTGTACCCGCGTGTACGTGCGTGTATCTGCGTGTACTCGCGTGTACCCGCGTGGTACGTGCGTGTATCCTGCGTGTACGTGCGTGTACGTGCCGTGTATATCCGTGTACCCGGTGTCGTGCGGTGTTATCTGCGTGTACGTGCGTTGTACCGCGTGTACGTGCGTGTACCCTCTGTTGCAGCCATTGTTTACCAAATTGCTTAGCTTAGGGCCTCGTTTTCGTGGGCGAGTGACCCCAGTTCATGAATAAATTTAAGAACTGGTCTATACCAGTTCCTCTGTGACTGTTCTCTATAAACTGCGTGTGTATTATATACACTTTGTTTTATATTGCTGTGTTTTCTATATATGGTGTTCTTAACACGATGTTCTATACATGTGGCTATCTAATACACTGTTTCTATATCAACTGTGTTTTGTACAGTGTGTTCTCTACACACGTGTTTCTACACACTGTCCTATTCAAATGTGTTTTAATTACATCGTGTTATCTTACACACTGTGTTTTCCCTTTACACCATGTTCTTAAACGTTGTCTTATCTACAACTAATAAGCAGCGCGCGTGTAGTACACGCGAACCGTAGCCCATGATTACATCGCTCTTGCTTGTCGTCTGTCCTCTGTACACGTGTTTACAGTTATCTGTTACACGTCTCTGTCAGTTTTACAGGTTACCTGAGTCCAGCATCTCCGTACAGGTGTTTACGGTTAAAGCGGCGCCGTGTAGTACAGCAGCGAACCGTAGCCACTGATTACGATGTCCTTGTGTCGTCTGTCTCTGTACAGGTGTTTTACAAGGTTACTGCTGACCACGTCTCTGTAAGCAGTGTGTTTACAGTTACAAGTGACCACATTCGCGTCACAGGTGTTTACAGGTTAGTCTGTGACCAAGTCTCTGTACACGTGTAAGGTACCTTTACACAGTTGCTTCCGCTGATTAAGATACTAATCAGAACGCCAACAGTCACAGTTGCTCGCCATAATTCCACTAATATCCGCAAGGTGGCTCGATTGTTCGTCAGCTGTGGCCTCAAATCGGGCGTGTCATCTGTGAAAGTGTGACTAGGAGACCGGCGGTGCGAATTAATTTGTATTTATTGTTTGTTGCTCACGCGCGGGGCCACGCTTAGCCGCTGACGCTTATTGTTTGTAGTTTTCTGCTGCGGAGCGGGGCGACGGAAAAACGCCGAACTGTTATTAGGACAAACATAGTAAAAATAATATTAACATTGTAAAAAGTAAATAAAAATACATTAACAGGGCATGCTTTGAATTCTATTATATTGATATTGTGTACGCCAAAGAAGGCGCAGGGGGGAAATGAGAGAGGGGGAGAGGAGAGAAAGAGATGAAGGGAGAAGAGAGAGAGGAGAGCGCGCCGAAAAGAAGCGAGGGCGAAAGAGAGGGGAGTTAGAAGAAGCAAAGAGTGCCAAGAGACAAAACAAGACGATGGAACCTGACCCCCCCCAGGAAAGAGAGGGAACGGACCGAGGACACACCAGGATACCCCCCCCGCGGAGACCGCCCCGCCGTAGCACAAACTAATGATCGCAGGGTGTTAGCCGGGCGCCGCTGAGACTAGGGTAAGCGCGCTGCCGCGCCCGGGTAAGGCATTGCTCTCTCCTCTCTCTCTCGCACGCGCTAGCGTCCTTCCTTCCAGCGGTGAAAAAAATGCGTTTCGGAAGACACGCTGCCAGAAACATCAACGCCGGTGCGGCAGGTTATAGGCTTACCTGGCTAACCTGGGCTGCATGCACGTTTGCTCTGAGGACTAACAACGAACGTGCACGGGAGAAACAACGTGCGGCAGCAAATAGTAAGTGCGTGCGCGTGCCACTGCATTTTTCTGATGCCTCTGAGGTGTTAGACCGAAGACCTGTATACCGGTGATGGACGTTTGTACGTAGTTTCTAAGTGAAAGTGCGGATTTGTACGTGGTTGTAGGAGACTGTCCGGGTATATGTACGTTTGTTGTAATAGAAGACTGACATGGGTTTCGTACGTCGGCGTAGGAGACTGACAGGGTTTGTACGTGGCTGATAGGAGACTGACAGGGTTGCAGCGTGGCCTGTAGATGACATATCAGGGTTTGGTACGTCGGCTCTATAATAAGACTGTCTGGGTTTGTACGGTGATTGTAGGAGACTGTCGGGTTTGGTACGTAGTTGATAGAAGACTGACAGGGTTTGTACGTGGGCTGTAGGAGACTGACAGGGTTCTGTACGTGGTGTAGGATGATTATCAGCGGGATTTGTACGTGGCTATAAAAGACTGTCTGGGCTTGTACGTGGTTGTAGGAGACTAACAGGGTTTGTACGTGGCTGTAGGAGACTGACAGGGTTTGTACGTGGCTGTAAAAGACTATCAGGGTTTGTAAGTTGTTGTAGAAGACTGTCTGGGTTTGTACGTGGCTGTAGGAGACTGTCGGGGTTTGTACTTGGCTGTAGAAGACTGACGGGGTTTGTACGTGGCTGTAGGAGACTATCAGGGTTTGCATGTGGCTGTAGATGACTATCAGGGTTTGTACATGGCTATAAAAGACTATCAGGGTTTGTAAGTGGTTGTAGAAGACTGACAGGGTTTGTACGTGGCTATAAGAGACTGGCGGGGTGTATACGTGGTTGTAGGAGACTGTCGGGGTTTGTACGTGGTTGCAAGAGACTGTCGGGGTTTATACGTGGTTGTAGGAGACTATCAAGTTATTTGTACTTATTTTTCTTTATTTTACTTTATTTATTGTACATTCTTTATCATATATCTTCTGCTCTCTTACCGTTACAGTTTTGATAAACTCCGACGCACGCCGACAGAAGGCGCCACGCCACGCAGCGAGCGACAATGTCTGACGAAGAAGCCGCGACGCGGGAGGGCGTCGCCGCCGCCGCCGCCGCCGCCGCCGCCGACGCCGTGCCCGTCAAGCCACAGATGTTCGCGCCACCGTTGTGGGTCATGCCGCAGCTCAGCCGCAACTCGATGCGCGCCAAGTTCTTCCGCTACGGCCCGCAGGTCGGCCGCGCCGTCGCAGCCATCGTCATCGTCGCCTGCGTGCTCTACCTAGCCATCGTGTACCGCAAGCCGGCGCGCGCCCACCAGGTGGAGCCGACGACCGCCAGCCCGCCGTTCGCGCTGCCCCTGGTAGACGACAACGAACCGCGACTGCAGGACGTGGTCGATGACGTCGGCGAAAAGGGAGATGACGTCATCGACGCGGGAAATGACGTCATCGGCGACGACAAGACGGCGGCGTCAAAGGAAGAGGAAGAGGAGAAGCCGATTGTCCTTCCCGACGACGCCGTGCCGCCGTTTAAGGTCGACCGCAGCGGCGACTACTTTAAGGTGCCGGCCAACCGCAGAAAGACTCTGCACCGGCAGGCGATGGCGGGCCAGTACGACGAGATCGTGCTCGGCCACATGGGGTCGCTGAACGATCGCCGGCCGCCGCCGCCGCCGCCGCCAATGTACGGCCCCGACGGGCGGCCGATGGAGATCCTGGCGATGGGACCGGACAGCTACCACCCGCTACACACGGACGAGTATGGCACCCTGCCCCGCGATGGCTTCATGGCGGGTCCCCGGCCGCGCGACATGCCCCCGCCCCCGGGCCTCGCCCCACGCCACCACCACCCGCACGACGGTCACATGCCCCACGGCGGCGAGCCGTTCCACCCGTCGTTCATGCCGGGAGACAACATGCCAGCACCCCCGCCCGGCGGTGACTTCTGGGGACCGCCACCTGGCGGCGATTTCCGTGGCATGGGATACGGCGGGATGGGACCAAACAGCGACGCGGGTTTCCCGCGCGGTGACAACCAGGTACAGCAGAGGGCGCCACTAATGGACTTCCGCGGCGAAGGCGGTCCCCCGTTCATCGACGGCCCCGGCCGACAGGGGGCGCCGTTCATGCCCGGTCCCGGCCGGCGGGGGGCGCCGTTCATGCCCGGTCCCGGCCGGCGGGGGGCGCCGTTCATGCCCGGTCCTGGCCGTCGGGGGCCGCCGTTCATGGACGCGCCCGGGCGACAACCGCCGCCGCCGCCGTTCCTCGACGCGCCCGGCCAGCAGGGGGCGTCCTTTATCGACCCCTGGCGCAGTCGACCGACGGACAATCGCGGCGATGCGTCGCCGACGAAGAGAATCACGACGCAGGTGCTGGAGAGGGGCTACCCGGTAAGAAACCGGGCTCCGGGCGAGCTGGTGTCGGACGACGGCTTCTACCCGACGACCGAGCTGCCGTTCGACCCGATGCACATGATCCCGGGCGTCGACATCAACGACATCGTCAAGCTGCAGACGATCATGTACCGCATACTGCCGGAGACGGAGCCCTACATGCTGCCGTACCGCGCGCCGAGCGTCGACCGGCCCGTGTTCACGACGGGATTCGACGACTCGCACTTCCACGAGGGGCAGGAGTACGTGCGCATGTTCCAGGACGAGCTGCGACCCGACTACGATCTCGTCATCTACGATCTCGGCTTGTCGACGGACAACAACAAGTGGGTAGGTGACACCTGACACGCACGTGCACGCACGCACGCACGCACGCATGAGCTAAGGCAGGCGCGCACACACACGCGCACACGCACGCACACACGCACGCACACACACACACACACAGGCTCCCCTTTTTTTCTCGCCTGATAACGTGATTTTATTGAAACAATAGACCATCTATCATCGAAGCCTGCGGGTCATGCTATTTGCTTCTCTTGAACTGAACTTGAACTCGCCCCGCGTTTGAATCGTCGTGATTAGGACGAGCTAAGCTTCATCCCGCATCCTGTATCCTCTACGAAAATCCCCCAATTTTTTAATGATCTATTGCATCGCAGTGAAACCACGTGGGTAATGCCAGCTATAGACGCTTTATCAGTAACATCCTGGCCAGTGACAAAATATATCTTGGGATTTGTGGCTATCCTCTTTATTTAAGCGGGCTGTACGTAAATCAGCTATTATAGAAAGATAGGTGGCGATGAGAACAAAGACGACACCTCCGGAAATAATAATGCTCTTCAACCCGGAAACGGGTGCAGATTACATGCGCGGTGAATGGCAGCTATTCATTTCGCGACGCACCGTGCGTAGTGCACCCACCAGATGGCGCCTGTCATGTCCGTAAGTGCTGACGCACGTCGGGGTCGATGGGCCGACCTAACTGCTGCGGCGGCGACGAGATAAACACAGATGATCACTGATCAAACATGATCGCGCCAGCCCGCACGCACGCACGCACACGCACGCACGCTCTCTCGCTTGTTTCTCGCGCGCTCTCTTCATGTTCGCGCAGGGTGGGGGGGGGCATTCATACATACGTGTTAGCGCGCGCGTACCCTGACACTGCGCGTGATTCTAATGTGAGTATATTGCTACGCGAATTTAATTGCGAACGAATGAATTTACCCTCACAGGTGCAGGACAACTGTGGCTGCAAGCTGAGACCGTTTGAGTTCAACAATTACCCGCCTCACGTCAGGGACTTGGAGAATTTTGCCTTCAAGCTGATGATTCTACAGGTGAGCTGTCCGCCGAAACAGCGCTGAACGAAGGAATGAATAAATTAACGAACGAACGAACGAACGAACGAACGAACGAACGAACGAACGAACGAACGAACGAACAAACGAACAAACGAACGAACGAATGAATGGACAAACAAACGAACGAACGAACGAACGAACGAATGAATGAACGAATGAATGAACAAACGAACGAACGAACGAACGAACTAACGAACGAAAGAATGAACAAACGAACGAACGAATGAACGAACGAACGAACGAACGAGCAAACGAACGAACGAACGAACGAACGAACGAACGAACGAACGAACAAACAAACGAACGAACAAACAAACAAACGAACAAACGAACGAACGAACGAACGAATAAACAAATGAATAAATGAACAAACAGACGAATTAATGGATGAATGAATAAACGAAGAAACGAACGAACGATAAAACGAACAGGACAATAAATTAATGGACGAATGAATACATGTAGTCCTATGTATAACTACAAAAATATGTCCATTCATCAATCAATTAATTGATTAATTAACAACGCTACGTGTGCGTTTACAGGAAATGTTGCATGAGTTTGGATTCGTGTTCTGGACGGATACGTCCTTCCGACTCGAAAGTGACTGGACGAAGGAACGACTGGAGCACATCCTGACGGACACGCGCGACGGACTGGGAGTGAGCATGTGGAGTAACAACCTTCCACAGTCCTGCTTCGTACACCCGGGAATGTACGAGTTCCTAGAGGAAAGTCCCGACGACTTTGTCGACACGTCCGCTCTAGAAGGTTGGTGCTAGGGCTGAGATTAAGGAGTGTAGTATTAGAAGGTATGATTAGAAGTTCAAATTAGGGTGTTAGAATTAAGGGATGTGAATTAGAGGGTTAGAAATAGAGGATTCAGATTGGATGGATTAGGGTTGTGGGGTCATGATAGGGAGTTAACTAACTACCTATCATAAACTTACGATAAGGGTTGAAGAATTAGTAGGCCAAGTGTCAGGTTTGTGAACATAAGAGAGAAATAAAATACAGTCGCAGGGCAGATAGGAAATTAATTTCGCGATATTCATTATCATGATACGTGTGCGATATTTTCCATAATAAAATTTGCGCCTTGATCTTATTTTAACGGCGCGATAACTAGGTTTTCGATGTGTTATGCTGTTGCAATTAATTTATAATCATTAGGCGCGTTCACACTGGCGGGAATTAGCGGGATGCAATTCTCGGTTTTTGCATCGCGATCGAAATCTCACTACGTATCGCGATCAGCATCGCGCTGCAAATCGCACTTTAGACTGCGATTATTTGGGAATTAGCGCGATTAATTGCACCGCGCCGTGTGTGTGAACGCTCGCGCAAATAATCCCGGTATTTTCTATCCCATCATTCCAAGCGATCGTATCAACTTGGCCGTTTTGGCATGTTTCAAGAAAGGAGGGTTAATCGCCGAACTCAATTCAATCTGAAAAGATGCAGTCTCGACTCTGTACTAACAATACGATGTGTTTACGTAAACACGTGCAGACGTAGAGTAGCATACGTTAACGTAACAGAGCTAGAGTAGCATACGTTAACGTAACAGAGCTAGAGTAGCATACGTTAACGTAACAGAGCTAGAGTAGCATACGTTAATGTAACAGAGCTAGACTACTACCAACGACTGCAACACCGAACTCGAATCCCGGTAGTACATAATTCGCGCGCGCGCGACCGGAAGGGTTATATTTCGGCTTGATATCAGGCATGCGCAGTTCGATTAATAGAATTATCCCGCTCGGCAATTAGCGAGATATTTCCGCCTGTGTGAACAAGGGCACAATTATCTCGGTATTTCCATCGCGATTAGCATCGCGGTTTTTGTTGTGTGTGAACACGCCTATTATTTTACGTGCGGTTATGATCTCAATAACTTACGAACGGAGTCTAATTTATTTTTGCGACTATTTGATTGACATGCGTGAAGCTAGCGCGTGCGTGAGTCAGGCTCATAGAGATGTATGAATAGGCAGTAACTAGCCTAACCATGCAATATATTCTGTTGTTCCCTCGCTCATTCGTTAGCAGAAATTAGAGCGAGATGGCAAGCTTATCGTGATTGAGTTCATGCATTATCTCGGGTCACGTTCCAGCCTGTTTTACGCGCGCGAATGTTTTTTTTTCCTACCAGTCTCTGCCTAGCATAACAACGTCGGCAATATCCATACCTGCGTCAGAATATAGGGTCGTGCAGCCATTGTTGCGGCTAGGCACTATCATCGGTTTCTGTAGCTCTGTACGCCAGGGAAACCGTAGAGGGTGTAATTCACACCGTGAGATAGTCACGGAAATTTGACTCTCAAACTTATTCACTCTAGATTCATGTGAACTAGATCTAAACTTCTATCTAGTTTTTTCTATTTTCATGCAAGCGCCCATTACTATTGATGGAAATTGATGTGTACTCTGTCATAAAACATTGGTAAACAATTCTGACCTGGTAACCCGTAACTGCAAAGTGCCATTATATATATATATATATATATATATATAATATTGGGAAAAATAAACTTAGTGTTTGCCCTTCCCCTTTCTCTCTACCTACATACCTATCTCTCTATCTCTCTAGATCTCTCGCTCTCTATCTCTCTAGATCTCTCGCTCTCTATCTCTCTAGATCTCTCGCTCTCTATCTCTCTAGATCTCTCGCTCTCTATCTCTCTAGATCTTTCGCTCTCTCTTTCTCTCTCTCTCTCTCTCTCTCTCTCTCTCTCACTTTCTTTCCGCCTCTTCTCACTTTCCAAGACTATGTTTGTCCGGTCAAGCATTACCTGCTATTCGTAACTCCGGACTAGATTTCCCCTTTTTTCTGTCAGCACGTATTACTCATGATGGGCATTGGCGTGTAGCATGCTAGAAAACAGTTAAATGTGACTTACTGGCCTCATTTCGGTCAAAACGAAATAAACTGGCATTTCAGTTAATCGGAATTTTATTGTATGGAAGGAAATAGGTAGTGAAATCATAGATAAGATCAGTGTGTATGCGTGTGTGTGTCAGAGAGAGAGAGAGAGAGAGAGAGAGAGAGAGAGAGAGAGAGAGAGAGAGAGAG